ACTATTGTTGGGATGGGATTGGTAACCCTGCGACCTGGTGCTGCTGTGAATGCTTATGTTTGTTTGCGTGTGCGTGTATGTGTATGATTGTGTGTGTGTGAGATGTATGTAGCCTCTCTATATACACACGTTTACATATATACACATAATTTTCTCTCTGTACATCCTGTCTTCCCAAACCTCTCTTTTTGTGTGTGTGTGAAACACGTAATCTATCACTCTTCATATATACGTATATAACATATATCGGTAATCGTCTTTCGAACTCGCCCGTTTTTTTTTTTTTTTTTGGGGGGGAGGGGTCGGGTCTAGTCATTTTGTTTAGCCTTTTATTTCGTTCTATTGTTTTTTTTTACTTTTTAGTTGAGTATCCCCTTTTTCTTATAGTCGTTTTCTCTTTTTTTTCGATTCTACACAGTCATCTTATATCCTTGCTTTTAAGACTCGAAAGTCTATGTACTTTATTTTCTTTTTAATTTAATTCATTGGATGTTATATTTGATTTCTATTATTATCTGATCTCTAGAGCATTTTACACTAATCTACTTTTATATCTACTTATTGTTCAATATTTCATTTTATTTTCACTTGAGATTATCTTTTTATCTTTTCTTCTGGTCTTTTTACAATACGTTTTTATATCCTGGAAGGTGAAGTATGAATTTTTATAAATAAGAAAGATGGTATGGTTCGTGACGTAGTTGGTGACGTCACGAACGCTATAAATATTGCCAAAAACGGCGCGAAATATACTCAGTCTTGACTAGGTACCCTGTGTGTCACTTTTATTTTAGTGATGTTGAATTATTTACTCAACTTATCTTAATTATAAGCATCATCTTAATATTTTTTTTTTTCAATTTCAAGCCATTCATGAAGTGATTAGCGATCCTAGAATTTTAATCATAATAGAACTCGTAAGGAGTATGACTCGAGATAATGTTTTACTCAATTATTTTACTAGTGTAACAGTTGAGTTCTTAAGATGCTTTTGCCTTTTCATATTATAAAGTAAGAACCTTAAGGAGCAGCAAGTTTACTAGATGATAATGAAACCCCGAAGAAGCTGCGGATTGTCAAGGTTGATGATATGATTATGCTCGGTCGATAGATGATATATGCTCACTGAGATAATGGATTTGAGAATGAAGTTTAGTGCTTATTATGATGATGATGATAGAGTTGAGAAGCGGTTTGATGTGAGAATGTTGTCATGTGAGTTGTTGTTGTGTTGTTATTGGTGCGGTGAAGGTGTTAGATGTGTGTGGTGAGTATGGTTGTAATGTTGGATTGTTTTTATATGGTTCAGTATGATGGATTTTGTAGGGTGTCTTAAGATGTGTTAAGTTGTATAGTTAATTGTATGATATTGTGTTGTGGGTTTTCGTAGTGTGTGATTGTGTGTGGGGAGTGTGGTTATAGGTAGTTATGTGTTCTCATCAATTTGTAGTTGTGGTTGAGAGTGTTAGATGTTGGTGTGGTAGATAGTATGTCGAAGATGTTCTATGGATATGTGTAGAGTGTTGTGATTGCCTAGTAATTTAAAGCGGTGTTGAGTATGTGCGACGAGGTTATAGGTATAATTAATTTCATGATAATCGTGTGATGTGGTGTGGTATGTGGCTAGAGTGTATGATATTTGATTGGGTGTGGGATGTGTAGGGTGATTTGTGAGGATATGGTAGGTTTGGGCTGTAGTTGTGATAACTTTTCATGATAATTAGGCTGTGCGCTTATATTAATTTGATAATTATAATTAATGTTCATGAGAATTATAATGTTTAATTTCATGAGTAATTAATAATTAATTATTTTTGGATAATTATAATAGATGTTCATGATAATTATGGCTTAATTAATTTGATGATTATAAATTGATTTCATGATATATTTATGCTCATGAAATAATTATGCGTACCTAGATGCTTCACTACATAGATCGGCAACTAGTAACTCTGAACCCACACTGACCACGCATACTAATTAGCAATAGATCAATGAACACGTCATGTTTGAAGGATAAGGGTGTGAAATTAATTATAATTTGTAAACTATAATTAAGCGATAGATTATCATGAAATTGGATTATGATTACAAATCAATTAAGCATAATATCATGAAAAGTTAAGTGTATGATGATCGAATGGCAATTATAGCAGTAATTATATCGAAATTAATTATGTATCATCAATTAAGCATAATTATCATGAAATAATATTTTATGATTACCAATTAATTAAGCATAATGGTATAGTAGAGTGTGGTTTTGTTGCGGGTTGCTGGCGAGACTTCCACCGGTTTGTGTGGCGGCCCTAGGATATTGTATATGTGAATTATTTAGTAGGTGGTTGCTGGAGATGGTTTCCAGTTGGTTGAAGCGGGGAGGCGGTGCTGAGATTGGGCTCAACGAGCGGAGGCCGGGCTGGATAGAATTGGGCTCACGAGCGAGGGGGTGCTGAGATTGCGGTCAGAGCGCGGAGAGGCGGTGTCTGAGGGATCTTGGGAAAATCATCGTGGATCTGGTCGTAAGGAGGATTTGGCAGCGGTGAGATGTAGAGCTGAAGTGAATTTGAAATTTTAAAGGATTTTTTTTTCGAAAAGTAGGTGGTGTAGTAATTTATGTGCATTTCCAAGCTCGATTATGAGGTTACGCAGTGATTTTATAGTTCTTTTAATGACTTCCACACAGAATGCTGACTTGTCCATTGAAATGGAGAATAGAATTCTATTTTGACATTATTAAAAAAATCAGCTTTAACCTTGTGAAGCCGTTTCTTGTAGATTAATCACTATTATCGTCTCGAAAGTAGATTAAGGCCGCGTACTTTAAAAAAGACCCTACCTTGCCAGTGCTGGGCGTTTCACGCTGGTCGAAGCGTTGCCAGGGAGACCTGGTGAGGGAGGTTACTTCTAAACAAGGTTGACAGGGCCGCTAACATCTTTGCATTCCCGCTGAAATCTAGGCGAAAGATTTGTGTTACATTCTGTGCAGTGCACATAATCATAATAAACTTAATTATTGAAGAAACGCTCTCGAGAAATTGGACCACATGAGAAAATGTTTCGCGCATTAGTCTCGGACTTTATACTTAACAAAGGAGTTTAAAATTTAAGACTTTATGCTATAACAAAGGAAGTTGAAAAAAATATTCTTCATATCTATATGTAAGATAACCGAAAATTAACTTTATACTATTGATGGCCTATAACTCACTGGACATTTATATCTTAGTAGCAAGGGGTTATCACTTTATGTGCAATAACGTTTAAATAACTTTTGCTTTTCTGGCGGTTTGTTTTTTCAATTCGCCGAACCGCTGAGATTTAGCAGGGAATCCAATAGATGTTATGCGCCTGGCGAAACTCTTTCTTTTCTTCGTTGAGGTCCTTGAGGGAAAACCGGCAATGCGTTTAGTTTAAAAGTAGTAGGAAGCCCATCACTTTCAGATGTTCGTTGAACTCGGCTCTACTTGGGATGTGTGGGGCGGACAAGCGTTATTTGCTTGAACTGTACATGAGTCATCGTATGGTTTTCCTTCCCCATTTGTGATTAATTTATAGCATTTTGGTAATCAGTCCTGTTTAGAATGTCCGTTCACTTATTTTGTCTACGGAATCTAAATTTATAATTATTCATAATCAATAAGGTTTATCATGGAATTAATTATACATATCGAAATAATTAAAGCGTGAATTATCATGGAAAATTTAATGTAATGCAATTATCAAATTAATTTAAGCATAATTTATCATTGCAAATTATTATAATTTATCAATTAATAAGGCATGATTCATGAAATAGATTATGATTATCAAATTAGATTAAAGATAATATCATGAATTAATTAATAAATTTAATCAAAATTAATTAAGCATGAATTATCATGAAATTAATTATAATTATGCAAATTAATTAAGCATAATTATCATGAAATTAATTATAATTATAATTAATAAGCATGAATTAATATGAATTAATTATAATTATCAATTAATCAAGATATTATCATCAATTATTATCATCAATGAGCATAATTATCATTATCGACCGAGCATAATTATCATCAACTTGACGTCCAGCTTAATTCATATTCATAGTAACTGTTTTTACAAATAATATTCATAGAGAGCAAAACATCTTAAGAACTCATAATGTACTTCGTAAAATAATTGTCTTCTAGGAATAGGCAGTGACCAGTTAGTTGAATAGGATCAAAAATGGAAAGAATTGCACAAAAGGGGAAGTATTTATTCAAGTACACATGCTGCATACATGGAATTTCTAAACACACTCTCATACCACACACCACACACACACACATACACGCAAACACATACATAAAATCCACAACACGACACACGAGGACTCACCCGTTAATTGAAATTGGGGGCGATTGCTGTTTCACAAATCACAGGCACTTTTATGATTACTTTAGAGCAATTTCACGCGTTTTACACTTTTTTTTCTTTCGTTATTCGTTGCCACTATCGGTAACGCTCTCACAGTTCTGTCTCCGGAGAAATATCGCAGAAAGACATTTGTTTTGTGTATGTATATGCATATATATATATATATATATATATATATTATATATATATATATATATATATATATAGTATATATATATATATATATATATATATATATATATATACTTATATATATATGCATTATAAGTATATATACTTATATATATATATATATAATATATATATATATATATATATATATATATATATATGCATATATATATATATATATATATATATATATATATATATATATATATATGTATATATATAATATATATACATATATATATATATATATATATTTATCTGCATATATAAGTATTATACTTGTATATATATATATATATAATATATATATATATATATTTATATATTTATATATTGCAAACCCTATTTACACTGCCGCGCGGTGGGTCTCCCCCCTCCCGCCTCGCGCCGCCCTCCGGCGCCAGCCGAGGCCACCGCCG